TGGGCAATACCGCTGGCTCCGGCCAGCAAAGCCGCAGGCCATGTCAGAGCTGCCACGATGCCTGGATAGTGTGACGTGTCAGTTCATGAAGTACCACACAAGGGTCAATACAACAAAAGAACAAAACCTTGATTGGATAGCTGGGACTGTTAAAATGGAAATCAGTTCTTTGCAGGCAAATCATCCAAATCCAGCACAGAAAATATGATACCACAAATAGAAGTACTCCTGGATACAAATGCAGAGGCCATAGTGCTTTCTGCATGATCATACCTGAGAGCACTGTGTATTTGAGGGCTTCCTGGGCCACAATGCTGATCAACCCATCCAACAGGGATGTCATGGCCGAGCCCAGTTCCCTGAGGAAATGGGACTCCCACACAAGGCAGTACTGTTCTCCACACTTGCCCAGGCTGCACCACGGGGCCTGGAACGAACCTGGAAGACAGCTGCAGTGTTTTTATGTGCTGTAGTGCAAAGCAGTGGAGGAAATGACTAAACAGCTGTTGTCTGTGGAGTGTTTGCTAGGCACTGTATAATGAATGTATGTTTTAGTGGGGGAAAAGGCATGCATCCTTTTACATAAGCACAAAACTTAAGTGGTTTGTTTGAATAATCTTGTGGACAATCTATTGGTATCGATTTAGAACAGCTACAGTATGTGCTGAGCCATATATACTGTAATATCTTCCCCTTTTACATCTTTGTTACTATTAAGGCATTGTGTGCAATGTTGGAAATCAGTGAGCAGAATGGCTTTATTGTAAAATTTGTTTTGTCCTAGCCCTAAATTATGACTCTCATGTATGACATACATGAGAGTCACAGAGATAATATTTTGGGAACATACAAAATTGAAACCTGCTGACCTTTTTAACCCCGTATCATGAGTTCATAACACTCACCCAAATTCTTAAGGTTAACTCCTGAATCCTCATAGATTCTTCTAACGATGTGGAATCAAAAATAACCTGGTTCTGTCCAGGAAAATGATCATTTCAACAAGTTTCTTGGCTATGTCTATATTTCTCATATAAAAGACGACGGCGACAGGAAATAATGTCATCCCTCTGGTTTTGTGTGAAAATGGCTTGACTTCATGAATGTATTATTTAATTTCAATAATAATTTCACTTAGTTTTCAGTGATACATTCAATAATACAATAGCAATAATAACAGGTTTCAATAACATTCATGCTCAAATTTCACAAATAAAAGTGAGAGAGATGATGTAATTTCCTGTCGCCATCTTTGCTTACCTGAAAAGAAACTGCATGACCCAAGAAACTGATTAAAATGATATTTTTCCTGGATTGACCCAGATTATTTTTGATTCAGTATTGCTAGGAGAGTCTTTGAGGATTCAGGAAATACCTTCAGAATTTGGGTGAATGTTAAAAAATGACAGTATACGGTTAAAATGGTTGGCAAGTCTCAATTTTGCATGTTCATGGAAGATTATCTCTGTGACCTGAGTGTATCTAATACATGAGAGTCATAAGCTGGGGCTAGTTTTATCCTTGAATTTTTCCCACAAAATGTAAAATTCAATAACATGTACTGATATTCCAATCTAAAATTACACACTATTTATTATAAAGGAGGATTTTGTTCAAATTACCCAGTCCTATATACTGCAATGAAAACTGTTAATGTAAATTAGTGAGATAGAAAAAGCCATGCTTACTGTATTTACCACTGCATAGCCAACCTGTCACTGCAATGGTCAGGTGAAGATGCTTCCCAGAGCTTAGTGGCAGGAATTCAAATTAATTCAATTTCCTCTATGACCCCGACACACTTTTTCATCTTGTAGCCTGGGAGACAGTGTGTGAAAATTACAGACAGGTAAAAAAGTGCAAAATTCAAGTGGAAGCTGAGAAAACACATTGAAATACAAAAAAAAAAAAACATGCATCTATTAAGTTCAGATAAAGTTGATTACTTCTTTCTGCAAACAATCATGTGTGGCCTGGCGCTCTTACCAGTCAGCCCAGCCCCTGCTGCTCCAAACAGAGAGGCCATGATTGCGATGCCAGTGACTGAGCCCAGAGCAGCAGCCCCTCCAGCCCCCAGCACAGCACCAGCCCCCACTGCCAACAAGGGGGCTGCCAGTCCACCTGCACAACCTGGCAAAAAACAGAGATGACAGTACAGAAAAAAGCAGGGCCCCTATCTGTCAAGTGAAACATTTTAGATGCTGTGGGTATTTAATTATTAGTTCATTTGCTTATCAAGAGGAGTTTATGCTTTCATATAAGATACTAGATGCTTTAAATGTCCTTTTTAATTTTTAAACTGTTGGAGCGATAATAATCACCAATCACAGTTCCTCCGCCCACAGTGGCCAGTCCGATAAGGAGGTACCGTCGTAACCTTCGTCTTCTTTCTCTCTTTAGCCGCCGAGAGGACTCTTCTCTGTTGAAGGCATAGTCAGGCAGAGCACTGGTGTTAGCTTAAATACTCATTGGTTCAAAAAATACAAATGTCCAAATTTAAGGTGACATCTTGAACAATACGTTGCTTGTTCATGCTGCACAGCTATCTTCATGCTATCATTCTAGTGTGACTGCCAAGCACAATGTTTCTGAATGAACCTGCAAAAGAAATGCTTGGACAGAACATATGCATTATCATTTAGCATTTTAAATCAGCTGAGGTTTAAAGTTTAAACACATCTTTTATACTTAACATAAACTCCTAATAGTAGCAGTGTAAACATAGCTACTGAGGTTAGTTTTGGGAAGACTGAAGTAAAGGGGTACAAAATATAATGAGAATCCAGTTTGCCACAGCTATACTAAAGGTACTAGGTATCTACTCATGCATGTTGCTGCTTGTACTGTCATGTAATTGTTGCTTTTAAGTAATATCTAATATTTTATTTAATTTGCATTCTAATGTTTTATCTATATACTGTATGCATTTTAATGCCTTATCTTTCTGTGTGCATGGTGTTAAGCACTTTGAATTGCCATTGCATATGAAAATGTGCTACATAAATAAACTTGCCTTGCCTAGTATCTATTATCAGTCTTTCCATCCACAACTTACTCGCTCTCCTCTCCTCCTTCCCTCAGCTGCTCTCCTAGTGTTTCCTCAAACTCCTCCAGCTGCTGTGGTGAGACTCGTAGCAGACAGCTGACATGACGGATGAGAACCCTGGCTCTGGCATCATACTGGCCTGAGGTCACGACACACCATGGAAGTTATAAAGTAAATACGTGAATTTACACCAACTTTTAATGTCATTAATACCTCAAAAGATTCTTACCGTCCTTGACAGAAAAAGTCACCAGATCCTGTGACACAAAGCAAGAGTTGGTTATAATAGCTGTGTTTGTAGAAACTGTTAAATGTATGTTTAACAGTTTAAATAGTGTTACCAAAGATCATGAAATCATGTATGACCTTGAATGGATTTGAAAATAACACAAGTGGTTTGTGCAATAACTGAAATTATTATATATTTACTATAACTTTGACTCTGAATGTCTGTGGTTATTTCATTTATACATTTATATCTAATATGCCCTTGTATAGTACTCATTTGCAGCAACCCATTTGCTCTAATCATCCTACTTTTCATTTTCTTTGCCACATTGTTATTTGCTTTTGCTACAGCCCAGTTTACCACACTACGGTCCAGTGTCTTCACATCATTTATTAGAGTGACAAACACCTGTATGATGGGGTTGGCCCCTGTAGCCAGCAGAGGTTCAGCTTGTAGGATGGACAGAAAGGTGTCGGACCCCTCAAAGCCCAAGCCTGACAGGAAAGCCCCCATTACCGGCATCACCGACTCATCTAGGTCCAGCCAGTGGACCAAACCCAGCAGGTACTGCTCCCTGAACACACTGAGAGGCACACAAATCCTCATCTCCTCAAGCCAAGTAACAGTTCCACCATTACTTTTACAGTTTCGTTAAAAATGTATTTATCCAAATGGTTGTTTACATCTGGAAATTACCTGTTTTCAGGTCCAGTAAATAACTGGCCCAGAGAGACACCGCACAATGCAGCAAAAGCAAAGCGGCCCTGTTCAGTCAGCTCTCTGCCGATCATTTTCTCTGGGATTTGGTTAAATGGGGCATCTTGTGCTGGCCCGGCCCCCCCTGGGTCTAAGAAAAACAAATACACATGACACATTAAGACATATTAAAGACACATTAATCATAAGTAGAAATCTCAAAGATATGGCAAATGCACTTGGGTGTAGCCTACACAGAAAAAATATATAATAAGCTTTTAATTTTAATGCTGTTTGGTGGATCAACCGCATGCCAAATTTACCAGAAGACCACCATGTGGTCTTGTGCCATCTTCCATATGATATGTTAATTTTGCCTATGAAAAAAAAAATCAACATTAAACCTTTTGAGTGTAATTTCGTTTTTGCTGAATAGCAACACGGAACTACATGGAGTCTAACTTCTCTTTGTGTCATGTGTTTGAACTGACCTGAATTCAACATACAGATGTGACGCAGATTTTTTTAAATATTCCTTTTAGGCTTATGTCATATAAAGCAAGCGTAATTTAAACAAGTGAATGTCATTACAAAGTTGTGTTAACGCTGACTGCTTAAAACAGCTGGTTGTTAGTGTCCGCGCTGCCTCAACCGGTTATAGCTAATTCAAGTAACGAACGGTTCAGTCATCGTCAATTTAATAACTTACTCTGCTACTCTATTGAAGATGAATAAACAAAGTCTATATGTTACCTAGAGCAAAACTTTTGTCCTTGCTGCTCTTTTTCGCGTCCATTGTCATAGATGTCACCACTGTGTTGACTGAACTTTTGTTGCATTCACGTGTTCTTCTTAAGCGCTGACATCTAATAATTACACATAATTACTACATTCATACGCTCCAACGCTTTTTATAGTAAATAGTCCATTCCCAAAACGAACAAAGCAAACATGTTAGCCTAGCCTATGGACTATCTATGGATTTTTTTAATATTAGATATAAACCCGCACAAAGCTGGTTTGTGGTGGATTGATATGAATGCAATAAAATGCCATTAGAAAGACATATAATGATATGATTAATTTACTCAGGGAAACTTGTTGTTGGCTATATACCCACAAGCACTCGTACAACGTTTTGAATTTCAACGTTATATAAACGTCCTTTAAAAAAAACGTTTACGTGGATATTCAGAACTTTAACATTTACGACTGTCTGCGAAAGCATCATCTGATAGTAACTGGAATGACGTAACTTCCTCGTACTTCTGGTACAGGGCAGGGGTCCGTTCAGCACTGGAAACGTTTTTGTTGGACAAATTATAGTATGCGGATGAACTGCACATCTTTAAGCCAGGAATGTACAGTCAGTGGTGGAAGAAGTACTCACACTGTTTACTTCAATACCACATACAAAAATACTGCGTTACAAATAAAAGTCCATTCAAAATTCAAAATGTCACTTAAGTAAACATTAGCATAAAAATATACTTAAAGTACAAAAAATAAAAGTGCTCATTATGCGGAATGGTACAGTTTACATTAAGGTATAACATATTACTGGATTATAATTATTGAGGTATTATTGTGTTCACAACTTTAATGCTGCAGCTGGTAAAGGTGGAGCTAATGTTAAATACATCATATGCTTATAATTTTAATAATTTATACTTTACATACTGCTGGGTAGCTTGTGAAATTTAAACCAAGGATCAATAAAGTCTTATGATTATACTGTATTTTGTTTGTTGTTTATCAATCTAACTGAGAAATGAGTAGGTAAGATAAGGTAGGACTTTATTGATCCCACATTGGGGAAATTCCTGTGTTCCAGCAGCAATAGAGAGCAGCAACAAAACACCATAAGAACAAACACCACACACATATATCTTGAGAAACAAATTCCAAAGTACCTAAAACCAAACAGAATCTAGAGACAATCAAGAACAAGAATGACCGTCCCACAATTACAAGAATGACCGTCCCACAATTAATCCCTGAAAACAAATCAAAATACCTAAGAACAAGACAAAATATAGTATTCAAGAGATCAAGAAATCAAGGACAAGAATATTACTCACATAATTAATCCCGCAATGGGGGATAACTAAAGTTATCAAATAAATGTAGCAGGTAAAAGGTACAATATTTTTCTCTGAAATGTAGTGAAGTCGAATTGGTAAGTGGCAGAAAATGAAAATATGCAAATAAAGTACAGATACCTCAAAACTGTACTTAAATACAGTACTTGAGTTACTTTACACCTCTGTGTGCAGTAATGTGTGAGGGTAAATCAAAGACTCCAGCAGCTGGTTTACCTAACAGTGCTTCATACAGTGAGAAGGAATAGCTACCAGTGAAACCCCATGATTGACACAAGACACAAAATCAGAGTAGTACAACTACTGGCCAGTAGGTGTGAGTGTAACATTTATTTTAAAATCACTGTCAAACTGAATAAAGGAATTACATTCTTTTTTATTTGTTTCCCTTCTATTCATGCATAGGTCTATTAGAATTTTTGTGTTGTTGTTCCAAGGTCCATCTGTGATTGTCTGACTGATACCAGTTTTCCCAAATGCTTGGTGACAGTGTAGCCTTATATCAGAATGAGGACAGTAGCCTACCAATCACTCAAGCAAAGAGCTGCAGTCGAGGACACACTGATCAGATGTTGCCAGAGGTTTAGAATGAAACAGAAAACAACATTGTTCAGTGGCGTGTGGTTAATAAATGGATTTTAATAGAGATGATGCAGTGTAACTCACTCGTGCTTTCATCACCAGTAGATTAGACTTTTGCAATGGTCTTTTAACTGGTCTCGCACGTAAGACCAGCAGACAACTACAGCTTATCCAGACTAATGCTGCTCAAGTTTTAACTAGAACTAAAAGAAAATAACACATCATCCCTGTCCTGAAAACATTGCACTGCCTGCCAGACTCATAGCTGGCAGTCATAAATAGATTAAATAGGTAAATAGATTTAAAATGTATACATGTTGGTCTGTAAATCTTTTAATGGTCTGGCACCTTAAACTCCATAAAATATACCAAGCAAGCAGAGCCCTTAGATCTGATAAAAACTATCAGCTGAATCAAACTTAGGTCAAGACTAAACACAGAGAAGCAGCTATTATGCTGTGCAGAGTTGGAACAAACGCCTCTAGTCTGGCCACATTTAAGACTAAGCTCAAAACACTGCTGTTGACACAGACTTCTGAGTAAATCTAGTTGTTCTTTTATTATGTTTATTTGTATTTTAATTGTTTGTATTTTCATATTATTGCCTTCCTTATGTGATATGTGTGATTGTTTGACTCCTCTTTACTATGTAAACCACTTTGAATTTCTTTGTGAAAGGTGCTCTATAAATAAAATGAGCTTGACCTTGACCTAATAGTGTCAGAGTCACAAGTATAAAGAAATAAAAACAAGAAACACTTACAGTGGACCAAGCCCAGTGCATTTGCATTGACTGGCATTTATAGGATTCTGTAGTGATCTTGTGAGATATGAGCTACTGCATGTGCAGTGTACTAACCCAACCAACTATATAGTAGGTTACAGCATAAGTATTACAGTACAGTAGGCTACACTATGTGTAGTGTAATGTAGTATATGTAAAATGGTATAGTGATGGTATAGTCAAATATAATTAGTATAATTCAGTATAGTCAAGTACTGTGCAGTATAGGCTATTGTAGTATGACATAGCATTAGACTATACTGCATAGTTTTATTATATAGTATAGCAAAAGTATAGTAAATAAGTTTAATGTAGTACTGTATATGTGTAGTGACATACAGTATAGTGTATTGTATTAAAATATGTGTAATATAGTGTATAGAACAGTGCAGTACACAATATATTATAGTATAGTAAAATTGTACCATAAATAAACCATGATATAGTGGTGGGTTAAGCTTGTTTTAACATAGTATGATTCAATGCATGTTCTTGATTTATTTAAGCAAAAGCCACTATCATTCAGTCATTGCAAATGCATAATCTATGCGTAATGATGTACTGTTTACATTCTCAGTTTGCACATGCATAATTGCACAATGACTCTGCTGCACATGCTGCTCCCATGCAGCATACATTCTCTTATGTTGTGGCATTCATGTGGACAGCAAAGTAAGAATTTCATTGTACAGGGAAACACGTTTCCTAACTGTGCATATGACAAATAAACACTTTGAACTTGAACTTGAACTTATAACTTTGTCATGCTTTATTTTTTTTACATAGCACACGCCAACGTTTCTTACACAAACTTGGATTTCTGTTCAGTTGATCCCTGCTTTCTCCTGAGTGTTTTCAGTCTGTTTAGCCGCTCTGTACTCCCCATCTGCTTTATCAGCTCTCATTCGCTGTACACACTTGGAAGTGCTCAAACTTTTGTCATGTTTTTCAGTATGAACGCTGTGCAGTGACAAGAGAGCAAAGCAAACCTCAGAAAAGGTGTTAGGGTGGATTAAACCTTCAGCAGGTTTTCATGTGGAGGAGCTGTTAGTACAGCATGGTTACTTTGTCAAAGTAATAGCCGGCCTTGTCACGAAGGAATCCCCAGACCAGCATAAGCTGCATTTGGCTGTCTTTGAAAGGCATCCTGTTTATACTGCCTACTGAACAGCCTCTAGTGTATCATAAACAAGACTTTATATGTAGCAAAGTCACAGCTTAAGTAAAAAACTATGTATAATAGCATGTGTTTATTTGGAAACTCTTTAGGATAATCACCTTTATTGGCCAAGTATGTTACACACAAGGAATTTGTTTCTGGTACAGAACCGATGGCAGCCATCTGCGGCGCCAACTCAACTGATGGCTCTAACCATCGGGGGCAACAGGGGGGTTCAGTGTCTTGCCCAAGGACACTTCAACTGCAGGCACTGAGATTCAAACCTTCAATCTTCTGGTTGGGAGACAACTGCTCTACCCACTGAACCACTGTCGCCTCCCTTTCTTGCATAATACAATTGATTTATACATTAAACATAGCAAGTACAACATATACAACCATCTTTGATGATATACAGATGAGAGGCATTGTGAGAGAAGACTTGTTGGATGGGTGCCCTGTGAGTTATCCTCTCACAGATTTGACCTCTTAACTTGCCTCGACTTGTAATCAGGGGAAAATAAAAGCCCATAGCTTGACTTTGACAACCTTAAGCGTTGAAAAGCAGTGATAAAGAAAAAGATAATATGAAGTGAGCTCCTGCTGTACCTTGCATAAAAATTCAGGCTATGTATTTGTACACCCGTGTTCAAAATCTCTGGAAAACAGTGAATACATTTCTGTTATTAATGAACTGGCTTTAGTTTTTAAAACTATGGAGCCATTAAAACCTTTGGTTTCTACAATCCAAAATATCTTCAAAAGCATTCCTACAATTTGGTGATAGCTTATATAACTGAGTGGACCCCCCCAATAAACAAAAATGTATGCCATCAGAATCATTTCAAAGCTGAAACCAGATCATACAATTATTCTGTCCACAGGAGATATAGCTCATCGTTTGAGTACCCTCAAACTACTTGAATCTTCTCGGATGTTTCAATCATCAACATAGACAGTCAAATTTCATGGCCATCCACCCAGTAGTTGAGATTTGCTCAGTCTGACAATGGATTACTCACTGAAAAACAGACGGGAGGACCTCAAGCCAGACAAGTTCAAACTCAACCCACCTCTATACCATATCACTAACAGACAATGTCAGACTTCTCCTTTCTGTCACCTTGACACTTGACAGAAGGGGAGCTGAGTGAAACCAAGACAGAGTGCACTACATGAACTGTGGGGCACGTTGGAGGGATTGCTATTTGTGCAGTCACAAACAGATAACAGAAAGGATGAAACTATGTGTTTGCTCATTGCACCAGGAAAGGAGTGAAAGGCACGTATTTAAATGGGACGGAAACGGATGTGGAT